TTTGGAACACCAGTGAACTAAGGAAATTTAACTTGGGAAAAGGTACAGTCCTCAAATCTTTGGTTTGCAGGAAGAGAGGGATTTTGCAGTCAAAATAAGCACTATAGTCTGAGATCCAATTCATTTAAGTGCGACAAACTATGCTCACAAATGATTACGTGCAAGTTTCAGACGCTAACATTTACAGAGAGTGTTACTGTAGAATAAAGTAAACATGTAAAGTCAACGTGTTTCAAAATTGAAAATTTCAGGGAAAAAAATTTTTCTTTTTTTTACATTACGCCCTCTGCTGCCTTGAAATCTCCAAAAATAAGATTGTGTGACCTAACCATTTACCATTCCATTACTAGACTGTTTACATTCACCAGTAAATTTTTTTCTCCAAAACAAAATTTTATTTAAATTTTTTCCGCCTTCCTCTTATGATCTTTAAAAAAGTAAGCTCATGAAACAAGGTATTAAAAAAGTCTCAACTTGCGTCAACGTATCTAATTCTGTCTTTGGTCACCTTCAGTCAGTCTTAGGTAATAGTGGTCCATTTGAATAAACAAATACACTTTAATTTATATTATTCATGAATACAATTGAAGTTGGTAAATTTTATTGTTATGTGTACCAGCTTTATGTTTCCATTGTAGTCTAATTTTTAATCCAACAACAAGTCAAGTGGAAAAACGAAATGTCAAAAGTGAATAGGATGTGTTTGTGTGGAAGTTATACCGTGAAATCATTTTGATGTGATTTATATTGTAAACAGAAATAATGAAATAATTCTTGAACTTGGGCTGTCTTCAGGCTTTATACCACTAGTTAGAGTAATGGAAGTTATCAGTAGCAGGTAGTACTGTAGTATGTTAACATTACAGTTAGCCCACTTACTCATTCCCTTTGACCTCTGCCATTATACCTTTTACTTATTAACTTTTATGAGGCAACACACAGAACATACTGAAGAAATTCAAACATTTTGTAAGCAACCTGTGCATATCCCTCTCTATTCACAAAGGCCAATTTATGGAACTTTTTGGGCCAGACCAAAATTTATGCCTTCCTGAAATGACTAAATAAGGCGGTACTGTATATCTTAGGCCCTGCAAATAATTATAACTCTATTCATGTACTGTAATAGTAGGCATGGTCAATATCCGTTTTATTGTTTATTGTTGTACAAAGGGCATGTGGGTGAAATTCTGAAGAAAAAAAAATTTATTACCTGTAAATGTACTGTACATTTTCTTACATTTCAGGAAATGCAAGGTAATCTTTTTATTATGTCAGTAAAATTGTAGTAAAATAATTTTTTAAAATCTTAATGCAACAACTACATGTAGGTTAATTGTCAATGGATGTAAAATATAGACTTTTCCCTTTTTGTGTACAGAAATTTTATTTGACAAAAATCATGTGACATGCCTAAATATGGTCATGATGACATCACATCATGTCCATATATAGGCACATCATGACTATATATGGGCATACATGAGTTTTTTTTGTAAAAATAAATTAATATGATGGCTAGAGCTTTAAAAATGAGTACATAAATACTTCTTTGTGGAAAATAAATAAATAAATCAATCAAAAATCTTTCACTGTGAGGTTTATCTGTCTTGCTAAATAAACTATTCAGATAAAATAAGTCAAAAAATGCCGCCTTCATCACCATCAACTTGTACGTACCCTGTACCAGAATTATTTGTTAATAATTTAATGTTGTTTGTTATTCTGTGTTGTTTCTCTTGTGATTTTAACGTTATATGAGTATTGGGCTCTCTGGGAGAACAGTAACATTTTACTGAATAGGTAACTCAGTATAAAGAACAAATATAAATAAAAATATATAAAAATAAATATTTTAAATTTTGTTATTCTTTTTAAAAATGTATTTATTTCTTTTTTTTCACAAAGTACAATTCACCAAGGTCTCACGTTTATTTCACATTTTGTTAATATTATCCTTTATGTGCTATTGTATGTAAAGTACCCCTAAAAAAAAACTATATAAATACGATTATGTAGTATTGTTATTATTCTGCTATTGTTAATATTCTTATGTTTAACAATGTGGTGCCTAAAAGTATCTTAAATGGGTACTATAAATACTACTGTATTTCTGTTATTGATTGCTATTTATATTCAAAGTACTGTAGTATCTTACTTATATACAGTATGTGTGTAACTGTCAATTGTGTTCTATCAAGAGCACTTAACACAGCACAATGAAATAATAACATCCAGTATTTAAATCAATAATCTATGTAATTCAAAGGTTACGAATTATGCTATTATACAGTTTCATTTATTTATTTTCCAGATCTTATTACGATAAACATCACACTATTCTGACAGATTGTCAAAAAGCTAAATAATTCACTATACAGTACAAAGACACTCCGACAGCTATAGTATGGTATATAGAAACAGTAAAATACAAAACACAGTACACTTTTTATTTATTGAATTACATGCAGGAAAACCATGATAGTGTAGGTGAAAGTTGATTTATATCTGTTCATTAGAGTATCTCTCATCCCTTTTGATCGTTTTCTTTTTCCCATTCAGAGCCCATGGTTATGATACATACACACCTTAATTTAAGTTTTGTGGAGGGACATAATATAAGATATGAAGATATAAATTTACAAGTAATAAAAAATATGTGCAGCGAAATTACTGTATAGACAGGTATTATAATCAACGTTTGTTAATGCCATTTTATAGCACTTAAGGGAAAATCTGAAAAGCACTTCCTAAATAATAAATAATTTAATGTTTGTAAGAGATAGGCCTACAATATGGGAGTTAATTTAACACAAATAATGCTTGATATTTTAAAGATGCTTTATATACCATGCTCTAAAGATAAAAGCATGGCTTAAATTGTACAAGTAAGTTCATATCTTTCAATACAAAATCAGACCAAGCATATATTTTCGTCGCCAATTTAAAAAGACGGCTAAATATTAACTGCTCCTGCATAAAATTACATAAATCCCTAATTGCCTGTTTGAGAATATAATTCATAGAAAGTGTGTAAATCTGCATCTGTATCTAAATCTGTGTCTTATTCAAAGTTGGTAACTTACTCGGTTCAGTTTTTAAAAGTTTTTCTAGATTATACCATGGAGGTATAAAAATATCCTGCATGATTAATTTATCAGACATTGTATTCAACATTCAAACAGTGGCCATGGAGCCCCTAATATAACGTTTGCCCACATCCCTCCCACCCATCATATCCCCATGTCAACACTTACAGTAGGTAAGCCACTGTATTTAAGGGAGCTATTTGATAGTTAAGCTGTTTAGTGTTTGATACGTTAATGAGAAAATCTTTACCAATTCATGAGTCATATTTTTTCTTGCATATAATATTGATTTTATGCTTTTATCTACATAATTAAACATAATTTTCCATTCCTGCTTTTGAAAGGGCAAACCTATGATATTACAGTAACATGAGAATTTACAGTTAAAATGATTCAACTACATTAGTAATAAAGTTTGATAAAACATTATTTGAATTAGATTATACACTATCAAAATCATCATTGTATTGATTAGTTGATAAATAGAAAGCATCTGTGATGAACTAAAGTACTTATATAGTATATGTGTCTGATATTTAAGTTTTTTTATGTTTTTTCTACAGATTTCACTTGGACATACCAAGTTTATTATCAATCGTACCATTGCTCATTTTTGTTTTTTTAACTGGCACATTTTAGTTAATATTGATTTACCCAAATTGTTACCGGTAAACTAAACTAAAGGGGGGTGGTCTACGGAGCACTCATGTTTTGACCCTATGGAGTATTAGTTAAAGACTATTCAGTACTATTTTCTAGAATTTCAGATGCATTTATTTGGATTCAGTTTCATGTTATTTTTTGCTCAGTGATAATTTTTTAAATATTTTTCCCTGAAGGCATAATAGTCTGCTACTCCTGGTCTACCCAATTTTTCAGATGTTTCTCAGAAGTCTCAATGAACGATGAATAAAATGAAATATAAACTTATCTGTAGTGTGGCAGTGTGAAAACAGCAAGATCTTTCATTTCAATTCTTATTTATCTATCATCAAGAAGTGAATTGTATGACCTCCTTTTCTGGAAATATTGTTAGTATAGTTTGTCAATTGGATTTGGAATTTTGATTAGAATGTAACCAAATGTGAAATCTATACATAGTTTCAGTTTGCAGAAAGCTACAAAATCCAATCTTCCTGAAATATTTATTATCATATATATTGATGCTTGATGAATATCACAATATCTAAATCAAAGTCTGACAAAACTTTATTGAGACTGTCAGACAACATTTTAAAAGTATGTTTGGCAATTTTAAATATTTAAAGGAAAGTTTTTGAATTTTATTGAAGAGTCTTCACAGTTTTGATTTTTTATATCATGCTTTTTGCTTTGATTTTATTATCTGTTTTTATCTTAGTATCCAGTAGTTACTTATTTATCACCTTATCATTATTTTCATTCAATATCACTTATGTACAGTATAAGTATTAATTCAAACTTTTCTACAACTGTCAACTTGATCAAAAACTTGCAATTCAGTTGAAATTGAATTTGGTTTTCTTGTTTGTTTGGTTTTTTTTTCACAAACTAGTTTGAGTTATTTAAACACTGTATCTCTATTTGTTTTAATAGATAAATTAAGAATATATTTATATTTTATTGTATTGTATTTTACATACTTTTTACAATTTATTATTTTTATATCAACCTAATAAATTGATTGTCTTAACCAGAAAAGTGTAATCAAACGTTGTTGAGTTTTATAGACAAATCTAATATACTGTAGTTCATGTATCCAAAATCTTTCAAATATTTGTTACTGTCACTTGTGCTATCAATACTTCATGAACCAGTTTGTTCAAATATTATGTTTTGAGTCTGGCAAAGTGATAATAAAATTCGATGAAATAGCAAAGTACCTTGTGATTTGATTTCATTATTAACTTGTTCATGTTTTTATATTTGCAGGCATAAAACATCCAAATATTATCTGCAATGTATGTAAAAAACATGGAATCCAGGGTACGAGATGGAAATGTAGTGATTGCCATGACTACGACCTTTGCTTCCTCTGCTACATGAACGACAAACACGACTTAAACCATTCCTTTTTACGCTTTGTTACACAACATTCTGTCGGGTTAGTATAAAATAATGTAACTTTCGAAACTTTGTTTTTTTGGTTTTTTTTAGCTTAAATTAATTTTTTAATGCATGTAAAAATGTAAAATTCCTGTGATTTGTATTCTCTGATTGGCCAATATGTATCAATTCCAATTTTAAAATGAAAATTAAAATCAATTAAAGTATTATAGTTAATAATGTAAGTTTATTTACGATAATTCAGTTTAGTTATTGTAGTTAAGTTTCTTTAAGTAGGCCCTAATGTGATTTTCTTTTTTTAGTAAGTCTATTTTTACCTTTTTGTTTTAATTTCTGTTTTGTTGAGTTGTACCAAGGATTTTTAACTGTTACCAGTTAAAAATCCTTGGTTGTACAATGCCTTTACGGCCTTGTTGAAAAACATCATTGCGGTGAACAAGTGTTTCTGTAGTTAAGTAAAGTTTTTTTAATTATTATTATTATAGAGTGCTGGCTTATTGGTTAGAGCGATGTGTACTCGTAGTAACTGCCAACTTAATATTCAATAAAATATTGACATTACTAGAAACAGAAATAGAGAGTATGTACTTGAAAAAAGAAATCAAATTTATTGGTCAAAGACATAATAATAGTATCTCTTTATGACTTTCTCTTCAAAAAAAAAAAAAAAAAAAAAAAACAACTATTTGTTCCTTTGTATTCAGAGCTGTAAAAAGTTGTTTTTTTTTTTTGCTGACCAAGGTCTAGATTTGCTAAAATGATTGCTAGCCCTTATATATCAGCACTATCCCAATCACATTATTCACATGATTGCAGAACAACCTGCAAAGCGATGCAATACTAAATGGAAGTATAGAAATCACTACCTTGCCGAATTAAGGCTAGTCATGCTAGACCGCATTTACTCCGTTTTTTACTCACTTTTGCTCACAGCTTTTCAAAATTTGCCACGAGGTTAACCTTTAACACACTTTACTGTGTTCTGATTGGCGCGCACTCTTACGTCTAATGCTGGCTAAGTTTTATTTTCCATTGTGTTTTCCATGTGACATTCGGTAATATTACAACCAACGGACATTAATTCTCCTTTATATTTATTATTTATCTTACTAAATCAAGACAATATCATTTGATGAACAATCTTTTCACATGTGTGTATTGCCATTGAGGACATCGTTTTTTGACATTTTAAATGAGGTAAAATAATTGTAAATGAAAAATAAGCTAGGCCTAGGCTAATTAATTAAAACAAATAATACAGCAGTACAAACAAGTTCCTGTCGTGGACAGCGAGTGGAAGAGGAGACTCCCATGAAGTCAAGTGTACGTTTTTTTTTTTATTGAAAAACAGTTCCATACTTTAAATTAACGGTCTAAACTCGTGTTTGCCATTCACAAATTATCAAACAATACATTGTTTATTCCAGTGAGCTGCAGCAGTCTTTCTGCACATACAAATAAACAACATGCTTTTGCTTCGTAGGTTCGCCTAGCGTAGCCTTGCTTAGATTGTTTATATCAGGCTTCGAAGCCTGCGCGCAAGTTAGATTGTTTATATCAGGCTACGATGTATCTACGAAGCCTGCGCGCAGGTAAAAGTGCAATATTTCACGACTGTACTGTACCTTGATTTTTAAACCAAAAAATTATAATAAAAATAATAAAACACTTCCAGTGACTGGAAGTGTTTCTATCATTTTTTGCTGTAAGTAAACTGATGGGTAGACATTATTTAAATACACTAATTTCTATGTTCAAGTTGATAACTTTTATGTTAGTTCAAAATGGACAAGTTAATTTCAAAAAATATTTTTATGATTTTTTTTTGGTATTTACTGTAGCATGGGACAATACATCTTTAAACTACACAAAAACCTTTACAAACAAACCCAAATTTCTAGTTTGAGTGGCAAGTTTTTGAAGAATATTTATGGTTTCCTGGCAACTGATTAGGATGTAAATGAAGGGTAATCTAGGTTGGTCATATGACTTGTATTGGCTAATACAGAATATAGGGCACTCAGGTACATCATGTTGTGTGTATATTGCTGTTAATAAGGAACTTAATGAAGGAAGCCCTTAGGTATAAACATTGTTATTAAATGTATCTTATACATACTTCCAGAATCTAATTATGAATTTGAACTCATGTCGAAGTGTGCCAGCTAAATTAGTTACTGGATAGAGAACCATTCAGTTTCCCAGTGTGACCTTCACAAGTTCGCATTGAATATTCTGTATGTTCACATGCATCAAAACATGTTCTACACATCTACATATTAAATTTCAATTTTCGCATGCACCTCACACTTTCCTTGAACACCTTCAATGTTCTTAATTTAGTCTTTAAAACGCTTTTCACAAAAAGAATTTACAGTATTACCACCTTCATTGCCTGATTGGTGACTATTCTAGGTACGAAGACCGTCTGAGGTTGTTCAAAACTACTGTAGGTAATGTAGCAGTTCATAAAAAATAATGAGTTGATTTACATGACTATGAATATTCATAGGTCGCTTACACAATACATCCATGCACAGTACACTATAAATACACTATGTAAACTAGCCGAATTATATTGTACTGTCTATACATACTGTACATGCACAGAGATCATGTTAGAATGAACTTCATTATTACACTGTATTACTATACATTTGTTTTTACAATAGTGTTGACTTTATTTTTTTTATTATTTAATGTAGAGATAATTGCAAGCTATCTTATGGTCGTTGAAAATTGGTAATCTTATAAATATTCACGAGAATTCTGATAACAGTATGAATATTTAAGGTTATCTTCTAAAATACAGTACATTGTACTTATCTTCGAAATGAATAGGTGAAAGAATTTCTATCTATATTAAAAGTACAGTATGTTGGGTCATGTATGGAAAAATCATCAGAAATTCGTTAAAACGTAGAATCTCACTATGTAGAAAGCAATTAAAAGTAATTATTAAAAAAAAAAAACCTGATGTCCTAAGCCTCCCCAGATTACCGTAGTTGGAGTCTCCTGGAAATTAACGAAGTCTCCCACATTCATGCATAAAAGCATCTTTTGGAAACTAACCAATTTTTGGCAAATTCAATGATGTTTGAATGTTTGTATTTACTTCTAATACTACAGTATATTATTTTACACAGCAAAAGTTATTGAATGTGTTAAGAAAGCTCATTAAACCAAATTTTCCAGGAAGTATAGTAGCTTTTCGTAACTTGGGACCTCTGAAAAAAGTTTTTGAGTACAGAGTGAATAACTGTAAGACACGGATTTCATTCTATTTCTATTTATTGTTAGTCATTTGCATTTAAATAGAAATTCTTCTTGTTCTGAGCCACCATTACATAAAAATACATTAAACTATACAACAAAAAATAGGCCTACAGACGTTGTCATTCCTTGTGTAGTAACATTAACTGGCGTTAAATTGCCATGCATGCCAGGTCAACTATTTATGCATTCAATCAATGTTCTAAGTATTCATAAAATGATACTTGGTAATAGTATTTCATTTTAAGTTGATAGTTATTGATTTTAATCTTAAAATTTGCACATTAACATTTGTTACATTTTATAAAAGGTGTCTTCATCTTTGAATTCAGAAAATAATTACTTTGTGCAAAGGTTAAAACTACATTTTCTTTTTTGGTTAATCCAGTTGTAAAGATCATTAAGATTTTTGATGAAATTGTATTGTATCTTGGTGATACGTATCCTGGTTCACAAACACTAGGATCATGGGTTAATCTAGAGTAAATCCAAGAATCTAGGATCATCAGTAGATTGTGGTTTAAACCTGAGAAATTACATGGCTCGACAAATGATTTTTTTTCTTATGCTGTAGTAGAACTTGTGTTCCCAGCCACTAAAGATATTTTGTAGCCACAAACCCAGAACATAGCATTACTCTCACAGGTTTAAAGCTAGTGTATTTCTAGATACTTTTGCAAATAACATAATATTATTTTATATTAGATTTTGCACATATTTAAGTTTAATACAGCACTATATTGGCATCTTAAACAATGTTGGTTTTTATTTTTAATAAGAAAAACTTCAAACAAAAGAAATATAATAAAACAATTAATAAACATTCTGCCTTAAACAAGGTCTTCTTTCTTTTTCCCTTAACTGGAGTGGATTCAATATTCCAGCTAATAAAGTAAGCTTATCAATAAATTTTCTTAAAACTGATAATTAAATTACTTGTAAAAGTTCCTTATCTGCGAGCAAGTTTCTGATAACTACAACAGATTTAAAATGAAAGTGCTTTCCGTCCATGGAATGTTACCCTCATCATCTTGTTTACTTCGCAGATTCCTTGGTTAATGATATTCTTATCAAGACGTGGGCAAATACTTGAGATGTATATCTGTCCACCTATTCTGGGTTTCAAGTTTTGAACAAGATTGTTCTTGAATTGAACTTGTGTTCCCAGCCACTAAAGATATTTTGTAGCCACAAACCCAGAACATAGCATTACTCTCACAGGTTTAAAGCTAGTGTATTTCTAGATACTTTTGCAAATAACATAATATTATTTTATATTAGATTTTGCACATATTTAAGTTTAATACAGCACTATATTGGCATCTTAAACAATGTTGGTTTTTATTTTTAATAAGAAAAACTTCAAACAAAAGAAATATAATAAAACAATTAATAAACATTCTGCCTTAAACAAGGTCTTCTTTCTTTTTCCCTTAACTGGAGTGGATTCAAAATTCCAACTAATAAAGTAAGCTTATCAATAAATTTTCTTAAAACTGATAATTAAATTACTTGTAAAAGTTCCTTATCTGCGAGCAAGTTTCTGATAACTACAACAGATTTAAAATGAAAGTGCTTTCCGTCCATGAACTTGTCAATCGGCTATCAACACAGATACGCAAGATGGCGTACCTTGGTCATGTGATCACATTCAACCGTTACTCATTGACTCACTATCCTTATCTACCTTCCTGTTTTATAAAGACCTCTTCAATTAACAGAAATTTAAGAAAACTACTTTCACAGATGAGTTTTAATCAGAAGATGCTAGTTGGAACAGAGGTCACAAGATTGTGAGACACATCTGCAGAACCTATTTTGTGAATCCATCCTCAGACAGATAACTTAATTCACCATCATAGATCAGGGAGAACTTGCTCGAAAAGTATTAAAAATCTTGGATTTAGAATGTTGGTGTATTTTTTTACCGATCAACCATTAGAGAATATTGGGTGTTAACTGATGCGTTTATTTTGTATCTTTGAGTGTTCCAAGAGTAGAGATTTGTTTACTATTTGTTTTTCTTGGTGACGTGCTGTTTTTTTCCCCTGTTAAAATGGGATTACCAGGATTTGAAATGAAACTGATTGTTAAGATACCGACATTGCCAAGGTGTGTTGTTTTTCATTGTTTACATTTATGTATCTTTTCAGTTGTCGTTAAATAGACACATAAACTGGTTTTAGCTTTGATTTCTATAATTAATGATGATGGTAATTGTTGGAAGTTTGTATTCAACAGCACATAAAATGCTATGATGTGTTATATCTTATTATTTAATTAATATTCTTTATTCCTAAAATACACTTTCAATACAATATACTGGTTTGCAAAGTGGTTCAGTTAAATACAAAGTAAAAGTAACAGAACGTATAATTAATAAACGTAACTTAACTAATGTAAACAGAGAATTTTCATTTTCATTGTACGTAATGTAGGTTGAAAATTTCCCACACAATTAAAAAAGACGAGCGGTACTGGGTAAAGACAACTTGATTTCGTGCTTCGAACAATGCATCCAATCGAAGTCTTATGAAGATAAGCCTATCCACAGTGAACATGAACGGGTCGGGGACTTTGACATACCTTCGATTTAAATTGACTGAAGATATAAAAAAATGTTAAATACAGATACGATGTATACATAATAAGCCTTAATGTAAAAGAGTGTAATTTAAAAATAAGTTTTGAATGTGTGATGTAAGTAATCTGTTAATTATGAACAAAAATTACATGAAATATAAAAGAATAAAGCCCTTTGAACGGTAACCAACGTCCAGAGGGCTCCACCTGGTGTTGTGATGACACGACTGTGGTACTCTATTAATACTGTAAATACTGTAGTAATGTAAATATGAATAATTTCTTTCTTCATTTTCTTCATGCGGGACAGAGCGAGTGTTTTTATTAATGACTTTGTAGTTTTGTTTGGCAATTACATAATGTAAAATCCATGATTATAGCAATTTGAAAGTAGCTAGGAAGAAAATACTAAAGTTGTATAAATGATTATGAAGCGTAAAAATGGTGAGCTGGAGGTAAAAATAATAATATATAATAATATTAAAGCTCTCGGTTATAAATCCCCTCTCTTGAACATGAAATTGGTTTGGGTTTATGAGGCGTCTTCTACCATCAAATACAGACAATAATGAGGTCGCAGACGTAAGCCAGGCTTGGCAAGTCAAATAGTAATAATTGGCCTCATGGAAAGCCCAACGTAGGTCCTATGCCTCACAAAGAAACACTTGTTGCCTTGGCCTACATAACACAAGACTAGACAAATATATTGCTTTTTAATGCTGGTCGCGGCGAGTGGCCGAGTAATAAGGCAGGGGCGCCGCTGACTTCATTCCTAAACTCGGCGCTGGTTCCAGCTGCTTCTCATCCAGGGTTCAGTTGGTAGAACCAAGTCTTTGGATGGGACAGAAAATGGAGGTCCAGTTTACTGTATACATCTGACTTGTGTGCACTTTAAAGAACCCATTGCATCTTTTGGAAGAGTAGGGGGTTACCCCCGATGGTATGGCTCATTTCATCCCTATTGTGGAATGATGTAAACATGTAGTTGCTATAACTGCCTCTTTACAGCTGCTTGGTAGTCACGGACCACGCCCATACGTGGTTCATAGTTCAGCACAATGAAGTTGTGAGTTATGGGTTTTTTTCCTACCTTTACTTTTACCTTTGCTAAATATTTTCTTAATTTTTTATTGTTCTTACAGGGTTCGGATGCCAAAAAGGCAGGGAGGAACAAAAGTACAAAGCAGAGGGCTTTTCCCAGGAGCAAAGGTTGCAAGGGGACCAGACTGGGATTGGAACCATCAGGATGGTTAGTTTAATAATATATTAAGTAATTAAATTCAGGTCTCCCTCCAATTAAGGACAACATTTGGGACTTCCATGGTTTTAGCATCTTTGGTCTCTAATTAAAATAATAAAAAAATAAAAAGATATTTGTTAATATGAGACCAAAGAAAAATGGTCTTTAATTGGAGGTGGTTTTTAATGTAAGTGGTCTTTAATTAGAGAAAAACCTGCAATATAAAAGTTGTTCATACACTGTTGGAAAAGCATGTAAATGAACCGTTAGTGATCTAATATAATCTTATAATAACAAAAATCTGCCAAGAGGCATTTGAGAAGAGAGTAGCAATCAACAAGAGAACACCGAAGTTTCTACATAAAAGAAGATCTACAAATTAACAATTGTGTCAATATACAATCTGACAGTGTGATATTCTCATTTATAATGATCATTAAAGCCGTTATAACTCTCTGACCTAACATACATTAATGAACTAGTTTCTCCATTTGTTCCATTTCATAGTGTCTGCTCTACAAAAATAAATCTCTGCTTGTCATCCTGAGATTCCCTGATATTATGCAAAAGCATAATTTCTTTATCTGCCTCTTGTGGTATGAATTGATCCCTGTTTGTAATGTTGACTTCATTAAATGATTTGAGGTTTATTAAATCATTTCCAAAAATCTAAAAACTAAATATTGATCATTATTAAAGTGTATATTAAAATATTTGATTTTTTACAGAATTTTTAAAGCAGAAATGATTATATTTTGTTATATAATTTATGATATGATAAAAAATTTTTTGCAGCTTATACTTTTTTGTTTATTTTATTTATCAATAATTATTCCTGTAAGTGAAATCTAACACTTATTATTGATAAATAGAATAAATAAGCGCAGCTCTCTGCGAGGGGAAATGGCGTCATAAACAGTTCTCTGAGATGGATATGTGCACCTCATAAGATGACATTATTATTACCTTATAGAAAATGTTCTTTTCATAAATTTAGGTGGTGAGGGTAAACATGGGAAAATTAACGATATTCGTGGCTGGGACAACGAGTCGGGGCGCAGTGTTGCCAACGTTACCTGGTCTGCGGGAACCACAAATGTATACCGTATCGGTCACAAAGGAAAAGTAGACTTAAAATATATCCAGGATGGACCTGGCGGATATTATTATAAGGATCATCTTCCCAGATTAGGTAAGGATTAGCTGTTTGTTACTAAGCGGGTTCACACGTTGCGATTTTGCTTACAATAAGCTGCACCACATCACTTATGACTACAATTTTCGAACATGTTCAAAACTCTATGATATCGTACACTTCCATATGAGTATCCGTGTTGTGTCGTATAAATAATACCTCTCACAACTTGTCCCAACTCCAGCGCACCAGGCGATTTTAGATTGAGCATGTCGTAGCGTAAGAAAAACCACATGTGAGAACGGTTTTAATCCTCTTTCATGGTGTATCAGTAGAACACAAGTTTATTTAGCTCTGTGGCTTTCATGGTATAACGTTAATTTTTTTTTTTATTTGCAATCCTTTTCTTGTTTCTTTAAATTTTGTTGGGCACTTGACTTGTACAACATTACCACTTCCAAAAATACAAATAAATATACATTAGATTAATTGATTGATTGTTTGAATGAGTGAATTGGACGAAGGTTAGAACATGATTCTTGTATGCAGTTGTGTGTTATGAAACCCTGAACTCTAGTATAAACCCACCTTTGTGTATAATTTCCTTTACACATAATACATAGATAGCAATTGAGAAGATCAATCATATTTTTTTTTTAATCACCATCATTAATTTATTCTTTATTTAAAAAAATAATAATAATAATAACTTTAACATCAGAAAATTCAGTACAGAAAAAATTCCACATTTTTATTACACATATTTCTGACAATTAAATCTACAGTACTTTTCAGACATCACTTTACCCGCTCTCTTATATTGGTTTTGTGATCATCCATCTTCTACTCTTACATTTTTCCTCTCATCTTATGTCTGTCTGTATCATCTATTACATCTATCGTACCTCCTCCCTTTGTTCCAAGTTCACCCAAATGTTAATCATTTATGGCTGGGTGAACTTTCCAATAACATCAACCATTTATGAGTCAATGTGTACTGAAGGATTCATAGGACTTGTTAATTAGTTAACGGTTCTGATTGATCTCTAAGCTCTATCGATGAACCCATATATGGGCATGATGATGTTATATTACACCCAAATATGGGCATCACATTTTTTTTCACATAAAATTTGATACTTAGTATATACAGATCTTAAGAGCATGACTAAACCAACCATTATTCACAGCTGTAATACCAGTGATTGCAGTCATCATAACAAACTACTTTTACAATTAATTTCACGTGTGGTTACATTCAGTAACCATGTGCATTCATCCGTGACGTCTTCAGTCGGAGGTAAGGAAGATGATAGTTGGTCATCACAGATTTGGAAGCTAAATTCAAACTTTTAATATCCTGTAAATTATTTTTGTCTATGCATAAATCAAATTACATTTATTGAAAACTGCTGTTGTTTGTGATAAAATCGGGTAAACCCTAAAAATAGAAACTAATACTTTACATTTAATTTGCTTATTAAAAGGAGCAAATATGTAATCAAATTTGAATTAGGCACCGATTAAAACAATGTAGTTATAGCTGATGTTATCCTTTGAAAATTCTTTTTTTTTAAATTTATTGTTTCATTCGCATTCAACGAGTAACTCGCCAGTTACAGAATGGAACGATGCTTTATAACAAGTGTATTTGTGACACTTACGGAGTGAAGTTGATTTTAATCGTGAGAAAAATTTCTGCTATCATAGGAATTGAACCCAGGACCCTAGGATTATAAGGCAGGCATCTTAACTACCAAGCTTTTCAACTCCATTTTTTATTACTAGCCAATTTATTTGCCAGACATGAAAAGAATATTTCAGGGTTTTTTTGTTGTTGGAATGAACTCATCTATTTTCAGATGGCTTATATACAATATAATTTCATGTCCCATCTTTTCTTATTTTTTCAATCAAATGCATCGATTTATGGACAAATGATTCATCTGTTACAGATCGTCTTCCACTTAGTTTTTGAAGAATCAAAGATTAGTGAAAGATAGGATTGATTCAAAATTATTGCTATCTATTATTTTTTTTTCCAATCTTACATTGACGCATCACTCAAAATGTTTTGTAAAGACCTCTTTATATTTGCAACGATAACGATAAAAAGGTAAAAAGCAATTGTTTGTATAGAAAATAACTGAAGCTTTTACACTAGGACGATTGATAATGACTTATCGTGTATACAATAGCAAAATATTTTGACAAATCAATTCAAATGACATCATAATCATGGAAAAATGATAAAATCGCTGTTACTGCTACAATTTTACCGTTTTTCCATGATTATGACGTCATTTAAATTGATTCGTAAAATTTTTTACTATTGTATACACGATAAGTCATTATCGAATCGTCCTAGTGTAAAAACATCCCTTATTTCTTTTATTTTTATATGAACAATTGCTTTTTAGCTTTTTATCATTATCGTTATCGTTGCAAGTATAAACAGGCCTTAATAGATTAACTAATGTAGTCTTCCTAAAAATAGATGTATCAATAAAATAATAAAAGTACATCTAAACCTCTGTCCACACTATTAAATTTTCTTTGACGAAAAAACTGCTTGTATACCCATATATAGTCATGATGTGCCCATATTTGGTCATGATGTGCCCATATTTGGTCATGATGTGATGTCATCATGGCCATATTTAGGCAGGCATGTCACAATGTTTCTGTGTGATAATCTGGACAGGATTTAATGCTATGTGTATGGTTGCTTTTGAGTGGAGCTGTGGCATAGTGTCTTACTGTACCTTCTAATCCATGGATTCTTGGTAGAATTTTATTTAATATAAACTTAATATTTTAATATTTTAACATGCATTTAACTACATTTTAACATTTTTTCAGTGGTTTTAGTCAGTGCACCATGTGTCTGGGTTTTTTTAGTAACAGATTTCAGACATTGTGATGTAATGATATGCATTTATAATGAACCAAAGTTTCAAACCATGTTTATATTTAACTTGTGTTTCACCAGTGAATGAATCTTAAATCTACCAATCTTCTCAAGTATTTATATAAATATTGATATTATAAATATATTTTCAAAAATCAAGAATACTTTATTGTCATCGATCAAACAAGTGAACACTGAAATCTGTTTTTTCCAGGTGCTAAAAATACTTTTAAAAACAATATTAAAGTATGGTTAAACACAAAATATTAAAATATAAAAAAAAAAACATTAAAAATAAAAGGTATAAACAAGTAAATACTAGATAAAAATTTATTTTAAATTTAAATTTTATCTCTCCTTTAATATTATATGCATTTGATCAGAATATCTTTTGGCAATATTCTTTTGCGGAAAGATTCTATTGTTGCATCTATCCCAATGGAATGATGATATTCAAGTGCCGATGAACTTGGCTCTGTCTCATTAACATGTAATCTTAGCCAAAGTAGCCGACGGTTACATTTCACAAATATTATTAGATGATATAGCCAAAAAAAAAAAAAATTATTATTTCTTATTAAAATAAAGTTATATTAGAAGCATAAAGATTGTTGACATTTGTAATATGTTTTATTACTGTCAATAAATTCAAGACCAGTAGTCAAATTGCTTGTAAATAACATAAATAATCTAAAAATTCATTAAAAAGTTAATAAAAGGAAACTTTATTACATAGTTCCCTCTTTGTTTTCGGTATATTCCAATATATAATAGATTCATTATATATTTTTATTCCCTTTGTGTTTTCGGTAAAATCTAATGTTGTAAAAATTATATAATAGAAATCGACTGTATTATATATTTTTTTCCAGGTAAAATCTATCCAATGTTGTAAAAAATATATAGTGTAGTATGTAAACTTTATTGTATATTTTTATTCTGTCTTTTTCCAGTAAAACCTATTCCAGTGTGGCAAAAAATATTTAATAGAAATAAACTTGATTATATATTTTTATTCCCTCTGTGCTTTCAGTAAAATCTATTTCAGTGTTGTAAAAAAATATATTTCCATACTGTTTAAACATATTGTTTTTTTTTTTTATAACAGATTACTAGGTCACTAGCCATGTACTTTTAACATATATCATATCATATCATCCGAAATTGCTTTTTCGAGAAAGCATGCCGCGAGACTTAGTTATTGATATCGGGACCTTAGGCAAACATAGATGAGATCTGCTCTTCAAACCTTCTAGGCCTCCTTTGCACAATAACCCAGAACGCAGAGCTCCTACAGTACCCTCACTACTGAATTTGATACCGACTGTTACTTAATGCTTACTCCATCTGTATTTATGAATATTGTGAATCATTAAAGTGCAGGTGTTTGAAGGGTCAGAGGGAGGATGATTAGTCTATTTAATTGCAAACTGAAACCTATTAACGCTGTACTATATATTGAGATTCAACATGAGTTCAAAGTAGTTAGAGAGTACTATACTAGGCTATGTTAGTGTTTCATTTTCCAGTCTTAGTTTATTCTTTCAGGAAGGGTTTTTTTTTTCTTGTGCAGTTAAGGTTTTACAGTATATATGTATTCCCTATATTAGATCGTGAATAAATATTGTTGTTATTCTTTTTATTATTGTTGTTGAACTAGAACTTTTTAAAAGAAACATAGTAATGTAATAACCATTATTATGTATTATATATATTTGTTTTTTCTTTGTACTAACACTTAATTATTTTAATCTAACACAATTATTTTGTTTAATGTCCATACGGCCTCGTGGAAGAACACCCCAACTTGGGTGAACGAGTTTTTTGACCGTTATAAAATAAAGTTGTTATTATTATTATTGTTGATATTGTTCTTATTGGTATTATTGATTATTATTATTATTAAAATTATTATTCTATCATCATTGTAATTGTTATTCCTTATAAAGATTATTTACAGTACGTATTGGTAAAGGTATTGTTGATTAAAAAAAACACTTGAATATGCTATTTTTCAAAACACATATGATACAACATACAATATTGTATCATGATCTTACAACATCTTTTGATCTTTCTCCTTATCCAGTACTTAGGGAAACATGCACGAACTTGTAATTTATCTCAAAATCCGCCAGGGACTCTAAATGACAGAACTGCAAAACCAGCCTCATCGTTGTGTGTCTATCTACATCCATACAGATATATAGAATAGTGAAATTGAAACACGCAATGTAGGATTAATAGGTTTGAAATTTGAACTTGAATATCAGATGAGCGCGGTACTTTATCTCAATGCGTATCATACATATTCTGGCTTTTGCATTTCCCCCTTTCCAGATAAATATGACACTTTTCATTGGCAAGATTCCATGAAATTATTATCTAGGTCTCCCCATTGGTTAATAATATTATTCATGATTGATTATATAATATGTTGATTTTGAGATGATTTATTTGATGTTTCATTTACGATTTTATTACTGTGTTACTTCTTGCCAAGTTTTTCCGTTCTCATTTGACGAAAGAAATACTTCTTAAATGTCGTAAAGCGACTCTCTTATATTCAAATTGGTATTAAAAGGCCATTGAAGCAAAAGCCTGTTTCACCATGGGACATGAACGACTCACTATCAAGTAATTTTTGTTTTCAATAAATAGGCATTTTTAAGCTTGATTTCCATACAATCTCTAACACTATCGGTGATGCTGATTGGTCGGTCGAAACGATGGCACTGAAAACATTGTAGCGACAATGTAGCGATTTTAAGAAGCTTTCCCACACAAAACAAAATCTGTAGTGTTTAGAGAAAGAAAAAAAATTTATTCAACTTTTTATTATTCATTTGCAAATGGAATAGTGAGGAAACTCACACTCTTTTCATATAGTCCATGACCTAGAAGGGGACATCATGCACCCCTGTAACATCCCTACATTTTAGAAAGAAAATACTTCATGTTTACCCTTCTTTCCAGTCACTGTATTAATTTAGAAATTTTATGTATATTATACAAAAAAATCTTATTATTTGCCTTAATTTATTTTGGTCCTGTAATTCATCCAGGCTTTAAAACATCTATAATGTTCTTTACTCTGATTGGATCATATACATAATACTAATTTGCATAGATTGTCTGTTGACTGATATTAAAATATATGACTTGTGAAGGATCTACTTAAAACATTATTACCATAATGTTCTATAAATATTCATGCAAGAAAAACCCTTGATGATATTAAATGTGAAATAGAACAACATGCAATAATTGAGATATTCGGGCAACAGATGCTTTTATTATCCTCATGAATAATCTAAATACTCCTTGGGCTTGTATTTTTTTTCCATTTTGCTATCAACCGAAATATTTCAAATTAAAGCAAGATGATTGTTAAGATGTCATCTATAAACTAGATCGGATAGCCTCAGAGTAAAACATTTATAAAACATAGAATTGTGTAGGAATTGGATCAAAAATCTTCTTGCTTGAGGTTGTGTGACAAAACTGTATACCATCTCATCTGGATTTTCACAATTACTCTGCTGCCGTGAAATCTTCAAAGATAAGATATGTATATTTCTTCCTAATTATATAAATTTAAAGCATTTACCCATCCCATTACTACACTGTTTACATTTACCAATATTATTTTATTTTTATTTTCTCCTCCCTCCTCTGACAATCTTGAAAAAAATAAGTTTGCGAAACAAGGAATAAAAAAAGTTTTGCCTTAAGTATCACTTTCATTATTACGCTCATTCATATTATTTATACAACTTAAATCCTATTTCTCGTAAGTGTGCGATTTTTTTTATTGTTTTTGCCAGTAATTAACTGATCACGTGTCGCCAATTTGATGTAATATAATGCGTCTGTCGAAAGATTGCCAAATCCGGCAGAATTTACTTCTTAGAATGTTGACTAAAAGTGAGATACTTTTTGCAGTTTGGGACCAGTATTTGATTTTTTTGACAGTCTGCCTGTAGATATTAGCAGTGAAGTCCTTCTACAGATGTTAGGCTGAAGACAAAAGGCCTGTAAATGTTTGCTGTAACTGTGGAGAATCGCCTTCTGGAAAAAGTGTCATTTGTCTTCAGCATCGATTTGTATTAGAATATCATCTTGCTGTGGGTCTGCACCGGTTATTACTGGCTATAGTAAATGCAAATGAACTCGCCAATTCTTATGCTAATGGGTTGTGGTTATTATTTTATCATAACTCTGTACATTATTGTCATTCTGATAATCAGTGTTATTCTTATTTTTGTCTTAGTTTTTGCAAGCATGTTTCTTGTAACAGCGTTATGATGTTCAGTTTGGTGGATGTGTTTGACCAGTCAAGATTATGGCTCCACACTGTATGAGCATGGAGGTGGTATGATGAAGGAGAATGTATTGTAGAGACAGAGTTAGGTTTATTTTGGAGATATTCTAAAATACAAATTATGATTGGATGTACAGATATTTAGATCAGTTTTAATTTTGCACCGTACCTACAAAGACCAAAAAACATTTTAAAACATAATATGATTTGCTTTTATTTGATTAATAAATAAAATATACATAATAATACTTCGACTTGATAGGAAAATACTATAAATAATATTACAAAAATATGACACATTTGTATTTAATCATTATATTGCATAATAAAGATGAAATACTTTTGAAAATTGTGTTTTTTATAAAGCATATAGTCCTTTAAAAAAAATCACTGTAGATTAAATTTGTCAGTATGATTTCGTTCAATAATCTTTTTTTTTTCATCATAAAATGAATTACTCCATAACATTTTACAGACTAGTAAAAAAAAAATGAATCATCGTTTAAATTCGCTTGTTTTCACACCTCCCAAACAGGTCATGTGATGTGATGGTTCGGCTAAAATGTGATTAACTTATAATCAGCTATACAAAAGTGCTGATACAATCAGACTTTATAGCATTTATACGTTATTAATTGTTGGCAAATGCCTGAATGACCTCCAAACATTGTGTCTATACTAAAAAATATGCAGAATTGTGGTACTATGCCCTGCATATGTTTAAGGTGTCATGGCTCGGTGATTGACATGCCACTAAGAAGATGCATCATAGGAAATCATCTGCTACTTTTAATCAATAACTTGTAGATAATAATAATTTAGTTTTTAGATAATTGTGGGGTTTTTTTTAGATGTTTATGGTGATCATACAGTGTTGAAGAGTGTTGTTTTTTTAAGCGTCTAGAATTTATGGTAATTTACATGATATAATTCCTGGCAGTTTTATTAATAATAATAAAAGTAATTATAATAATATTACAGTCGACTTTGACTAACTCAAATAATTTCTAAGTTGATCTTTTTTTACATGCCAAATTGTTGTCTTTTCTATTAATTAACCATTTGTAAGTCAAATTTTATCTGAGTCGAACAATTTTTCAATGCCATTTTGATTTATATAGGACCTCATGTTGCACAGCCTTGGGGTGTTGATAATGCCTAATTCAATGCATAACAATTACATAATACTTTATTTTAATATTCAAATGGTTATTTCATTCATTTTTTTCTTGGTTGTCTCCAGCATTCTTTTTAGACATCAGAGACCATCATGTTTTCATTCTGAGTGAAAGAAATAGAACTTTTAAATTTAGAAGGAATAAAAAAAATAACATGATTAAAGTAAAAATTGTGCATAACCTACAGGAAGGTTTTTATTATATTATTGCGCTAGTAGACTATGAATTTTGATTACCGTTGTGGCGCCATCGTGTGGCCAATTTAAACCATTAGTTTGTAACGTTCTTCTTATTTTGATTAAATAAATGGTACCCTTGAGGAAATCACCGTATTAAGAAGAACGAGCTGGCGTATGCAGGAATGCTTGAGTGTCTATAATGAAATGTCATTCTAAACAATTTACAGAGATTGAATTTGTAGCGAATGGGGATGTTTGATAGAGTATGGGGCAATAAAAATAAAAGGCTTAACAATCTTGATTAATATGGTTGATGCTAGAAATTCAGATTCACCTTTTTAGCCTGAGAGTAATTTTTTATTATTAACAAATGGCAGTTGAGACAATTTTTTTTCATAAGTTTGATGAAATCAATGAAATGGTGGTAAAAGGAATTAGTAGATTATTGTAAAATTTTGAGTTATCATTATTATAACAATATCATCATCATCAATAACATCACTTTCTTTAGTCATTATTATCATCATTTCCTAAAGTATACCTTCATCTTAATCATCATAAAAATAGTCATAATTTTTTATCATATAATTTTTCATCATCCTCATGTCACCACTTTTTATCTATATAATTATCATCAACATCTTTGTCTTTTCACTCATCAAAATCCTTATCAACATGGTTGTCGTTTGAATGGTAGTCTCTAATATCTTTATTATTCATCATTGTATTTATTTTATTCTTTGTCATCCCTATGAACGTAATTTTTTTGACTAAATTTTATTATCATCATAATTAATATAATCTCAAACATTTTTCACCTTGTTCATTTCTTTTATCTCTTGATAATATTTCTATAACACCATGTAAATTTTTTTTAAAATAAGGGTTATTTCACACCAGTACGCTTTCAATCTGCATTATCGGAACTACAATAATAATATTTCAGTCATGAAAATAAACATGAAAGATTAAATAAAAATTCTTTAAATGTATGATAATATAAATATTAAATCCTTAATTATTATTTTTTTATTGTTTTCAGGTGAGAAATTGGAATTGTCACCCACAACAACAGAGGGCAAGAAAAACACCTTCAACGTTGGGGACAAGGTGAAAGTGGTCCTCCAGCAAGATATCTTGAAGGCAATGCAAGAAGGCCATGGAGGGTGGAACCCAAAAATGGCTGAGGTAATTTGAAATAATTTCCAGTAAAAATATAGTGATATTATTGATGATAATCATAAAAAAAAAAATAATAATAATAGTAGAATATGATATGTTGGATCCAAACAAACAGTAGGATCGTATAAAAACAGTAGGGCCATATAATCCTAAGAATGTATTAATTTGATTGATTGATTGACTAAATTTGATAATAATTATTTAGTTGTCCTCCATCTAATTGGAAATCAGAAATTTGGGCTAGGCCCCCTGGGGACCTGCTGCAGCTGTAGGGCAGCGCCACCAAACTTAACTACAACATATAACTGACACATTGATAAAAACATTGTTCTTATCCCATCTAACCCTCAATATGAGGGTTATTCAAAGAGCCAAGCGATTAGACTTCAATTAAAACTGGACGCTGGCAGGGTTTGAAAAGGGGTTTTCAGCACAAGAAGCAGGAACAATACCTCTCAGACAATTGCTCAGTGTCATAAAGAAATGCCACTGGTTACTGTGTCTTTAAACATTCAGAGTATAAAATCCAAGATTCATTTTAATAGTTTTAGATCACAAATGAGATACACAATGCAATATTTAAAATAATTTTATATTTATATTTTAATTTAGTATATTGGAAAAATTGGTGTTGTACACCGTGTAACAGAGAGGGGTGATATAAGGGTTCAGTACCACAGTTCAGGTACAAGGTGGACCTTCCATGCAGGTGCACTTATTAAGGTGGGTGAAATTTATTATTTATTACTTTTTATATTCTTTTATATATTTTTTTATTTGTAAGTTTTGTTTTTATAGCCTTTCCGATCATTATGCTTAAGTAATCAGTGATGGTCGCGTGGTAATACAGTAATTATTACTTAACCTTTATATGTATATTTTGATCCATTTTTCATTAAATCATGATTTATGACTTCATTATTATTTTGTTTATTACTCTGGTGAACATTTTATTTTTATTTTATTTATTTATTTCTTCTTTACCCTAGGTAGCCTGATAAGTGCAAAACCATTGTTACCCTCCAGGGCCCATCAACATATACAATAATACAATAACATACAGTAAAATGGCAAAAATCGAGATAAAAGTAAAAAGACAATCAGTAAAGGCTGTAGCAATTTAAAATGTTTAATGGATAAATTCATAATAATAATAATAATGATAATGATAATGATAATAATAATAATACCAATAATAATAATACCAGTAATAATAATTTTAAAAAATAATAATAACAATATCAATAATTAAATAATAATAATTATAATTATATAATAATAACAATGATAATAATTATGTAATAATAATACTATAATATCAGTAAATAATTAGTGGTCAAATTACATACACCTTATTTGGTTGGTTCTGTCAGACCCTGGGGTTTGAAAGTGAAAATTATTATTATAATAACAAAAGTCCACTCCTTTGTAGTTTACACCACTTATGATATTCTTACAGGTTGAGTTATATTCCATTGGTGATGTTGTCCGAGTATCAGATGATGTGTCAAAGGTCAAACAGTTACAAGCTGGACATGGGGAGTGGACAGAAAACATGAGAGTTGTGAGTAATAGTTTTGAATATTCATGACCCAGGTTCATTTGAATAATTATATTAAGATAATAACATGAGAGTTGTGAGTAATAACTTTGAATATTCATGACCCAGATTCATTTGAATAATTATATTAAGATAATAACATAAGAGTTGTGAGTAATAGTTTTGAATATTCATTGACCCAGATTCATTTGAATAATTATATTCAGATAATAACGTTGCAACAGTTACAAAAAATAAAGAAATTACGAACTTCAACTTTAAACCTTTTTCACCACATGCCTGGTGACTGGGTAATTTCAAATAACGTTTTCAGGCAGTCCAGACATCCGATTGAGCTCAAATCATTATTAACAAGAACCGTAATAGCTCCCTCTATTTGAATGTATATAAAAAAAAACTACAGATGGAAGTTTCCGTCTTTGGCGCTCGAACGATGAGTTACCAAAGACGAAGATTTTCATCTTTGGTGCTCAAAGTGTTAAGGAAGCTCAATAAGTTACACTTACATCATTTCCCCTCTTTTCCTATTTACTTACATTTTTCCTCTTCTTTCCAGATAATTGGTAAAGTAGGCAAAGTAATAAGAATTTATTCTGATGGTGATTTACGTGTATCAATTGATTCCGCTCCTTGGACGCTAAACCCAGCCTGTGTAGTACCGGTGTCGCAAAGCAGAACAGACCTCAATAACACGATGGCGCCAGAGAGGGAGGATGACAAAGGTGTGTAATATTTTAACTGCTGTTGTGTAAACAAATGTTTTGTTTCCTTCACAGCCAAAAGTAAATATATGCGTGCAGCCTGCCTACCACCTTAGGCATGAAAACCTCTTGTTGTTAAGGTCTGATACATGAAACAGTAAAAAGTAATATTAATACTGCACATAAAGCAGAATAAATAGTCTATTGATGGTTTTTGCAAGCACATTGGGAACGTCATTATTATTATTATTATTGTTATTGTTATTGTTATTATTGTTTTTATTATTATACTTTCTTAAGTTTGCTTGCGGCCCTCTATGTTAAAACAAAATTTCATTTGGCCCTTAGACACGTTTTTATGGCCACCCCTTGTCTGGCCTAGTAGAGTCAATGTCTAACTTTAAGGTTTGAATTTTCTAGCCTAGGAACCATAAAGTCGAAACCTAGGCATTCTTAAATTGTCTTTATCAAAGCAAAATCTATTCTCAAAACTATGGTTATAGTAGCCAAGCTAAGAGTGAAATAACTTCTGGCCCAACCAAGTCAACTCTAACCTGGGCATCTTCTGGCCTAGGCATCTTTAACCCAAACCTAGCAAGATTTTGTTCTTATCAAGGCAACATCAAACTCCAAACCAGGATCTTCTAGTCATAGCAAAAATGGGCTGTAGGCAGCATCAAGCTCTGAACCTTCCAAATATCCTGACCCAACGAAGACTACACTTACTTCTGATTTGTTTGCACTTCCAGGTCATATGCAGGCTCTGATAGATCAGATTGTGTCGGTGAGCCTAGGCAGTGAAAGTTGTGATAAGCTGGTGAGCGATGCAGCACATGGGAATGCAAGAGCTGTCACTGATATACTGGCAAAACATCCTGATTGGGTGAGCAGAGAAAAAACAATGCTAGTTAAGATTTTATTTAATAATGATCATGATTTTGTGATTAGGTGAACAATGCCTCATCGAGTAACCAATGTTTGAGCAGATAAAGAAAAAGCGTAAAAAGTAAAGGGAGGTTATTTTATTTTATTTTTTTTCAGGTTGATGCAAAGAACACTGGGAAGACAGCTCTGCAGGTTGCCAGTCATCAAGGTCATGTCGAGGTCATCAAGGTCCTTGTGGTTGCCAAGGCAAATTTAGAACTAAAGGATCAAGATGGTGATACTGCACTTCATTATGCAGTATTTGGGTATGTTTATATTGTTGTGGATATAACTGGTTCACTGGCACTTATAGACAAGTTGTCCCGGTAACGATGGGCAATAATAAATAAGGAATAAATAATGCCTCCTACCTTTTGGTAAACTATAAATTCATGGAGTGAGCTTTCATTCATTTCATTTTTTTCATTTCATTTCTTCAGGCAGATGTGCCAAGGATATGCCAATCAGTGAACGTAATCACTATCCTACATGACATACCCATTAAACAACAGGGGACTGAATCAGTCATACGATCTATTTTATAAATTTGATAGCATTTTCATACATTATAATAATGACTAACTTTGCAACATCTTTTGCAGTAATCAACCGGAGGTAGCATCATTCCTTCTATCAAAGGGAGCCAACGTGGATGCAGTGAATAATGTTAGTTGTAGTAGTCTACACGTGGCAGTCAACAAGGGTTTCACACGCTGTGTCCGTATTCTACTCACGCACAAGTGCGACATCAATAAACAAGTATGTTTATTTTTAGACTCCCAGCAACACTGCAATACCAGAAGTCCTTTGTATATATTGATATGAAAATATATTTTTGCCCTTATTCATCTTACCACATACATGATGGAATATTTTCAATAAATATTTTTTATTTGTACAAATACATTTGTGGGCCAATACCCCATGAAACACCAAAGTAAACCATAAAGCTGAATCCTTAAGGAGGTCATTAGACTAAGTTCCAATAACCCATATACCCGCCCCAAACCATACTAAAAGGTAGGGATGTTACTCTATTAATATCCCAATACCCGAGATGGAATGACCGGTGTGAAAGCCACAGTTTTCTTTAAACTGTGGTCTTTTCATGCCATCTTGGATTTTTGATTTTCTTTTTTTTTTTGTAATTTATTTATGTGGCAAAATAAAGAATGAATAAATACCCAAAACCTCCTGACAGAGAGCAGCATACAGTGGCACAATCAAGTACTGTCTACACTATCAAAGTTTCTTTGACAAAAAGCTGCCCATATATAGTGATGATGTACCTATATATGGTCATGATGTGATGTCATCATGACCATATTTAGGCATGTCACATGTTTTTGTCAAATAACATTTTATAGTCTGGACAAGGCTTTAATTGGCGGGGAAAGTGAGATGACCTTTAACCTTGTCTACTGTGACAACCAGAACGTTATCCCATCAATATGATGGTGACATAAAAATATTGATATTTGTTTTTTGTTCATCAGGATTCTTATGGTGACTCGGCCCTCCATGATGCAGTGGCGAAAAATAATAAAGAAATTATAGAAATGTTAATAGGGTTCCCGACAGTGGACCTAACAGTAAAGAATAAGAAAGGGTTCAATGCACTTCACCACGCTGCCCTTAAAGGAAATAAATTGTGAGTATATTTACAGTTTTTGGTTTTCTTCTACCTAATAATAAGTACAATTACCAGTTTCAGAATACTAGTGTTTTCCCAGGGTGGTCTAAGTCTCCCGGAAGGCGCAGGGGTCTCCAAGAAATCAGGACGAAATCCCGCACTTTTGCAAACAAGCAAGAATGTCCCTGAAAATAACCCATTTCCCACAAATTCATAATATTTGCATGTAAATTTTACTACTTCAGTTCATTTCCTAATGATGACATAATTAATGTCAAAATATTGAATCCCGACACGATGGCGTGCATTTCGATACTTGGAGTATGTATTATACTATCTCATTCAATTGTCTCACAAGAATCAGTGCCGATAGGTATCACCATGTAGCAAGGTAAAATTAAATATGTTGAGAAACTCATTTAACCAGATTTCCCAGATGTGATTGTATTTAACTAGGAACCCCTGGTTATTCTATATTTGTTGAGCTGTAAAACTTTAACTTATGATTTAAAATTGTATTGTTCTTGTTAGTGCTGCGGATAAATTACTGTTGAAGGCACGACAGTTAGCGGACGTAAAGAAAGATGATGGATTTGCATCGCTACATCTTGCCGCATTAAACGGCCACCGAGATGTGGCAGACATACTGATAACCAAGGTAAGGGCTCAGAGTTGAGTGTGTAGTTTGCGTTACTGTGTTAACGTTGCACTGGTTATTTTTGTTTAAATTTAATATTATATAGGGAAGTGGAAGAGTTAGTCTTGTTAAGGAATTGGTAAATGGGAGGAGAGAGGATGTGTAAACTTAAGGTGGAAACAGATAAGATAAAGTAATTTAAAGTGAGTGTTAATGTTTAGTATTGTTCAGAGAGAGATGGAAATGTTTTGTATTGTTTAGGATGTGCATAATTATATGTCTAGCATCTTATTTTGCCTTATTCAATATCACCTTTTTTTTTCAATGTATGTCATTGTTTTATAAGTGTACATCCAAATGTACATTATTGTTGTTTTTATAGGGACATTGTGAAGTTGACATCAGGAACAATCGTCAGCAGACCCCCCTTATCCTAGCAGTCAGTCAGGGACACACGAACATCATTGAGCTTCTAGTCACAAAAGGAGCAGATGTAAACTCCGAAGATGAAGATGGCGACACAGCGCTACATCTAGCCTTGATGCGACAGGCTTTAAGCTCAGCAACAGAGTTAGCTCCATCTGCCTCTAAGGTGAGAATACACTGCAATAAATTCATTTTGGAGACATCAAAGTGTTTGAGGGCAGTATAACTTCCCAGTACTTTAAACATAATTTTTTTTTAATACTCTCAACAGGGAATAAATCAAACTTGTTATTTCAAAGCTTCAACTTGCAAATTCTTCATTTAAATCATCTAAATTTCAGCCCATCATGCTTCAAATGTTTCTCAATTTTTAAGTAAATTGCATTTTTAATGTTTGTTTGTGCCAAAAAAAAAAACTGAACAGGTAATAAATCAAACTTGTTATTTCAAAGCTTAAATTTGCAAATCCTTTATTTAAATCAAGTAAAATTTAACCCATCATGCTTAAAATGTTTCTCAATATTAAAGTAAATTACATTTTTAGTGTTCTATATGCCAAATAAACTGCATAAAATATTAAGTTAAAAAGAAAAATCAACTTTTTAATTTGAAGATCTCATCATCTTCATCATCGATGAAACGACTGCATAAGGTAGGTTCAAAGGTCAACAACTTCAACTTCTATGAGATTGAACAATCTTTTACACAAAAAAAAAAAAAATTCCCATCTTAATTAAAAAAATAGAAAAACAATGGAAAAGAAATAATCAATTACACACTATTATGAATATTTATATCATATTTTGGATTTGCCTGTGCCTTGACAGGATGATGTCATATCATAATCATATATCATCATGATGATATCATATGAAACCCATATTTGGGCAAAGTGATGTCATAACACACCCATATATGGACAAATCGCACATATTTGTCACAGAAATCCCTGTAATCGTAGAGTGTTTGTAAAATGTGTGTTTGACTGTATTAAAGATAAGTTCAGACTGAAGTTGAAGTTGTTGATACTGCATAACATATTCTGTGTTGCTGGGACTAGATATCTTATCTCCTTAAATCTGGCTGTATTCCAACAAATATACTATGCATAGCAATCTTGGTTAACAAATTGGAAGCTCATGAAAACCATTTTGCTATCATGTGTTTACATATGATGCTTTGCACATGGCATTACGTGGCCAGGCCACAACTCGCATAGTATCTGCAGCTGTATATGTAAAGGTGTATATTCATAGGTATACTAACAGTAGCTTACAATAGCATTTTAATTTTAGTTGTAAATGTAAGGCCTGCTTTTGTGACTCAGTGTTAAAAGTAATAATATTGAATAAATGTGATGCTGTACAGTAAGCCTCTTGTGCTGGAGAGTTTACATATATAGCCCTGCCCTGTCTAGACTATATTTGCAAAAACATGTTACATGCCTAAATATGGTCATCAAATCATGACCATATATAGGCACATTATAACTATATATGGGCACATTATAACTATATATGGGCATACAACATTTTTTTTGTCAAATAAAATTTGATAAGTCTGCACAAGGAAGATTAGTTAACCTGAAATTATTGAGATTATTATTTATTTATAAATACAATATCATCATCATCATCATCGTCACTGTCATCATTATCATCACTATCATCACCATCATTATAATCTTCAAATCTTCATCATCATCGTCATCATTGTCAACATCATCATTATAATCACCATCATTATAATCACCATCATTATCATTAAAATCTTCAAGTCTTCATCGTCATCATCGCCACCACCATCATCATCATCAGCATCGTCAGTGCTATCATTATATATTTATTTTGGCAATACATTAATAATCATAGTAACCTAAATAGTATATATCAAAATACCACAAAATAAACATCAACATTCTTGTCATACATGTATTGTCGTCAACATCATGAATCTTTTCACATGATTCCTTATGGAGGCTTTATGTTTTTCATTCTCTCTCCATATCTTGTATATTGTAGCTTATCTGGTACATGTTCGAAGCAAATCTTATTTAAACTGGTTTACATATTCTCAATTGCTTAATAATTTTGTATACTCCTGTATTTGTCCGAAGTCTAGATTAAATATTTACTTGTATTTTTATATACTCTCTTTTTCTGAACTATATCTAATCTGTGTTTTAGCCTACACAATTCTCTGATAAGATGTGTTCAATTGTATTATGTTTTTTACGTGCAATGTGCACATAAGGTATGTGACTCGCATGCAAACTATAGTAACAAATATGTGTCACTTGGTAATGTACCTTGCGTTAACAATGATCTGCATACGTGTGTGTAACCCTATATATACTTGCGTGTGTCAATAAGTCACATACCATATGTTAACATAAGCACTTGTGTACACACATGTAACCGTATGTATTCTTGCGTGTAATATTTCAAATATATATCTGCTTAAAGGTGCACATAAGAGTATAGGTGTATGTGTGTAATGTATGAGCAATGTATGTAGATGAATTTTTACAAGCTCACATGTGAATATATGCTTGCATGTGTAAAAGTAAATAATGTTATATATAAGTAGACCTAATCTTCTTGCTCTATATATCTTCTTTGAAAAAATATTACTATTACTATCAATATCATTTTCATTACCACCATCACCATTACAACTATACTCTACTTGTATCACAGTCAACATCATTATCATCATAATCATCAACAGCTGTTTTCACTCCACTCCACTGCTGAAGACTCGATGTTGCCACCAGGTAGATGGGTCTCTAACCGGTTCATACCAGTTAATTCCAGTTTACTCTTCCTGGTGCTGGTCTATACCATTACATCTTTCAATATTAATATCTTGCATATCTTCTTTACATTTCTGTTCTGTAGATCCAGGCTTCTCTTCAAGAGGACAACCTTGACCATCGACTTAGTACGGTAGTTGCGTGCTACTTAATATATGAAGGCGCTAATCCACTCCATAAGAACCACAAAAACAAAACACCACTGGACATGATCAATGACCAGAAGGTATCGAAGTCCATCAAGAAATTCATGGATTCAAAATCGTAAGTTAAAATTTAAAGAAAGTGTTAGCATTACAAATGCAACCTAAACCCTATTTAGATTATCAATTTTTTTTGACAAGAACATGTGACATACCTAAATATAGTCATTATGAAATCACATCTTGACCATATATAGGCACATCATGACTATTGAGGGGCATTCAAAAGTTTTTTTTTAATGAAATTTGAGAGCCTAATGGAATGAAGTGTGAACATTTAGGAGGTATATTTAACCCCATTTTGCTAAATAAATTGTTAACCATAAATAAAATCTTGTTTTAGACGGTCATCACGAACGGAATCTGATCAGCGACCCACCAGTAGCAGACCGCACTCTTTATCTAATGGCAAGCAAGCACAACCGGTAGCCCAGCGAGCCAAGAGCCAACACCTTCGCTCTCCTAGTACTCTCAGTAACCTCTCAGAAATCATGACGCAGTGCCGTATGTGCAGTACTACTGCCAACTGTATGTTCCAGCCGTGCGGTCACATTATGGCGTGCATGGAGTGTGCTGGGCTATTTCAAAAGTGCTACACGTGTAAGGTATGACTCAACAACGAGAAGAATGTGGCTTAGTAGGTTCTATGGGTGATTCACAGTGAGATAATGATCTGCTATGTATACATTTTATTTAGTTTCTAGATTTTTAAACTATGGGAGCAGTTATATAGCTCCTAATATCTAAGGAATTCTCAGAGTGCTTTTAATGTTTCAATGTTATTACTTCTACATATTTGGCAAAATGGTACAAAGTGCAACCTTCCAGGAGTGGCAGGGAAGGGGGGTGGGAGCTGTTATGATTGGTGAGTTGTGAAGTTTATTTGGAAGCTGTTTGGCACAGTGGAAATGGTTTGGTTTCCCAACCTCGAGTTTGGGGTTACAATCCTTCGCTGTGCATTTCGCTTGTGTCCCTGAGCAAGGCACTTTATCTACATTGCTTCAGTCTATCCAGTTGTACCAATAGGTACCAGCAAACAGTTAGGAGTAACCTGCGGTGGACCAGTGTCCCACCCGGGGTGGGGGGTGTATTACACTCCGCCTCATGCTACAGAAACTGGGGATAAGCTCCAGCCCCATGAGCCTATCGCCTGTATTCTTAAAACAAACTTTAGTCGAACTTCGAACTAGAACTTCATTTAGTGCTAGTTTCAACTTCAACCTCAATTTGTATTCACAAATAACGTAGTCGAAGTTTTAACTACAACTAAATCAAGTCCTAGTTTTAGTTCAACTGAAGATGACTGGCAAGCAACAACTATCAAACTAACCAATGAAAAGAGCTAATTTTAATAGCAGATGAAATTTTAGAGATCCGGTAATGCGGATGAATATTAAGCTGCCGTCTGTGGTTCAAAAACGCATTTCCTCATAATTCATAATAGATCATCATTTGGTTAATTAATTTTCTATAATGATAACTATATTAGTTGTTAACATATTATGATAGAGAATTTAAACAGTCACTGAAAATTTGAACTGTTATAGTTGAGCCCGATCGAGGTCGGCGCCATCTTTGTTGTTATGGTAAAGCTACACGACCACAACGCGAGGGGATTTCGTGCAAATCAGGAACTATCGCATGTGGCTGGAAAAACATGTTAATTTCTCCTTTTGGAAGCTAAACTTGATGTCTCTTGTTTAACACACCGAAGATATATCAAACTTGCGTATACAATCGTTTTTATTCGTTTCACTTTATCGTGAGTTACAAAAAACACGTTTTTTGTGGGGTAAATATTTCAAGTTGGCGATTTAGCCTGACCCTAGCCTGACTAAAAAAATCGGCCTGTGGAGGTATCATTTCAGTCGAGATTCGCGTCATTTAGTCGTAGTGCTAGTCGAAGTTTGTTTTAAGAATACGAAATGACGTCATTTTTAGGTTTTAGTTCGAACTACGACTAAAGTTCGTTTTAAGAATACCGGGGTTAGTGGCTCGGCAAGAATTTACTTTTCTTTCTAAGATTGATTAGCACTCCAGAAGGGTCCCTTATCCCCTAGGGATCTAATGACAGTGGGTAATATTATAGAGATTTCAATTGCACGATGAAGGTAAGACCCTAAATGTAATGACGTCACTAGAAAGAACATTGATTTCTCGTCATCAGAATTCTGGGATGCAGTTTGGCCCGAACCTAATGTGTAGTGTATGAAGCCCTTGTTGGCATGATGCTCTACTTATAGCGTATTATTATTATTTTTGTATTTAGTCATGCTTTTACCAATCCAACAAGGTCGCTGTTAATTCGTATAGTGTTTACTAATAAATGTTGTAACTTTTCCACAGGCGGACATCAAACAACGTGTACGAGTGGAAGGCGGAGAGATAAAGTGCTGTAGTTGTCATAACAACCTCGCTGAAGTCACATTCCAACCGTGTGGTCACAGAATATTGTGCCAAGGTGAGTGTGTCAAATCTTAAGTGAGCATGAATAAGATCAATGTAAACCCTGAATAAATGGGTTATCATTTTTGGCAAGTGTGTTTTAATAGATAGTGTTTAAAGATTGTGTACATATACTGCGCAAAAATATGAGGGTCTCTATGTGCTTAAAACAAGTGAACATGTAATTGGAAAAACAAGTAAAGAACTCCAATCCAGCACCTTTAAACCAAAAAAACATTTCCGATACGGTAGAATTCTGGATCTGAAAACTAAATATTTTCAGAACTCTTTTCAAAAGGCAAGATACAGATTTCCATTGTTTTAAAAGTGTGTGCCAACTATTCTATACCTCCAGTGTTTGGTCTCGATTCTGCAGTCCATTGGTAGTTTGTCCACTTACAACAAATAAAACATGCATCTTGTTCAAAGAATGAACACAAGGCAATCTTGAACTTAAAATTGGTAGAAGTTTATTAATTTGTTGAACTTTATATTGTCAATTGGTTTCGGTCAAGTACTCAGTGTCACAGCTGTGTAAATACTAATAAATTGTGCAAAGATATATTTCTCTCAAAATCTCTGCAGATGTTGACTGACTAAAGATCTATCAAAATGTACCCTGTCCAGCACCGGCCGATTCTCAGGACATCCTAGGACTCAAATCCCTCCTATCCTGGTAGAACTAGACAAAAGTTAGCTTGCTTTTCAGTAGCTTCCAGTTATAGGCTCAGGGTTACAAATCCCTTGCTGGTTTTTGGCTTAGTTCACACTGTCAATTTATATGTTACAAATAAATGTAATATGCCCATATTTGGATCTAATATGACATTATCATGCCCATATACAGTATGGGCACATAACACAACATAAAATTTGATAATGTGTACAAAGTTAGTTACTTTAGGCGTGGCACTTTATGTTAATTTCTCTTAGTCTAAGAGTATAAATGATACCTGGTGTGAATGCATAGGACAACATGTTAATAGTTTTTAAAATTAGTTTTATATGTGGAATTTAATATTTAATTATTTTGTTTCAGATTGTGCAAGTAAAACAAAGACATGTAGTACCTGCCAATCAACAATTACACAGAGAATAGGGAAAGGTAAGCCCAGCCCATGTACTTAATCCCTCCAATCAGAATGTTCTATATTTTAGCCCTCCCTTATAATGTTGAGTATGTATTTATGCATGTCTCGTTGCACATTCTTTTATTAATACTTCCAATCTCACAGGACTTGTTTTTGGGTTGCTGTGTTGGAAAGCTCAGTATGCACTTTAAACAAATATTTAATTAAAATTACTACTGTTGTTATAAGTACTGTATAGAAACATAATTTAAAGTCTGTAAAGGTTGCCAAAATATATAGCAAATATCTGATATTAGTCCAAAATTTCAGCACGTTTAATTCATAATTTGTTGTGGGATTTTATATAGATTGCATGAAAAATTGTATTCAGGCGAGTTAAAAAATGAATGTTTAAACATGCAGATTATATTCATATTATGTGACGTAATACTGGTTAATGAATATGAAAATATGAATAAATTATGCAAATTATATTCATGTTATGTGACCTAATGCTGTGATTGCATTAGCATTAGAAGTCAAGTGAGAATCTAAATCTAAGTCACATTAATGAATATTCAAATATGCAAATTATATTCATGTATTTGACTGGATGCTGTAATGTGAGAGTCTAAATCGGACAGGCTAAGAAATATTCAAATATGCATATTATATTATGTTGTTATTTGTGATGTGATTAATTCACTGCTGCATGGTCATTTTTCACCATAAAATTATTTCTTAAGAATAACAAAGGGCAAACTTTCCAACAAAAAGACCATCACAAAACAGCGGAGACTTTAATCACAGATTTTTGAAATTAATTTTGTGAAATAAAGTCCATCGGAGTTAGCCCTCCTATTAATCTTATAGTAGCTCACCTCTGCCAAATGCATGGATTTGTTTGTTTCCTTTACTCATTTATTTTTTATGCATGGAATTTTGTTGTAATGTTACTAGATGGTATGGTTATTCCTCTGCACCGTGCATCCATTGATCGTTCATCCATCGATCGTCCATCCACGATGTCTGCTCTTGCTCGCCGTTCAAAATCACTACCAGGTTCTTTTATCAATTTCACTTGTCTATATCATCGAATTGTGTTTCCTTTTGTGGCTAATGATTATGGGATTGAAACAGAGTAAATTGGTCATGTCATGTCATCTACATCATCGTTGTTATCATCATCATCATCATTAATGTTGTCATTGTTATTGTCATATTCATCATCAACATCATCATCACTAGTGTCATTATCTTCAGTAGCATCATCATCATCATTATCATCATCGTCATTATCTTCAGTAGCATCATCATCATCAACATCGTTATTGTCATTATCTTTAGCAGCATCATCGTCAAACATCAATAAATTATCACCATCATTGTCATAAATATTATCATCAGCAGCATATCCTTATAATATTTTCATAACGTTTTACGAAGAATTATCATTATTATCATCAACTTGATAAGTAAAAATCAAATATCCCATTTGAACATATGATAATTATTGTTTACTGATGTAGTCACTTTATAGTATATTTTAAGTCCAGATGATCAGCTGATCTGTAAAGGGGCTAAACAATTTTTTAATTAAACCCTAATCTCAAAAAATGAGTTCATAAACTCAGAATACAATTTTTAAAAATTTTTTCAACAGTTTATTTTGTTATGGAAATTGAGATGACAATAATATACAAGTGTACTTTCCTTTCCATAGATGGAACACCAGCTAACAAAGCAGATGCAGTAGATACTGCTGCCGTCTCCTCATCTGCGCCTGAAACATATGAAGAAATGAGAAAACTGAAGGAGAAAGTCCGCGAAATTGAAGAGTCCACGTTGTGTTTAATTTGTATGGAAAACAAACGTAATGTTGTATTCCTCTGCGGCCATGGCACATGCAAGAAATGCGCGAAACCTCTCAAGCATTGCCCGATGTGTCGGAAACCGATCACAAAGAAGATCCAAATGTTTACGGGATGACGAAACTTGTGATTAGATATTGATGAATGTGTTTGTAAAATCTGCAGGACTTTGTAAAGACAGTGATTTTGGCAGTGCCTCAAATAGACAATCAACTAAGCCAGCTTTGAGGCTGAAGGCTAGCTATGTTCTAAACCTAGCTATTGATAAGCCTAGGTATACTCCAAGTCTGTGTGCTAAGTCTGGGTATTGGCTAAGCCTAGCTAAATCCTTGTCTAGACTATCGCATTTTATCAACAAAAATAGTGACATGCCTAAATATGGTCATGACATCACATCATGACCATATATAGGCACATCATGACTATATATGGGCATCATCATGACCATATATAGGCACATCATGACTATATATGGGCATACAGTAGAGTTGATAGTGTGGACAATGTTTTGGACTTGGCTGAAAAGTGATTCAGGACTGAAGGTTTTTGGATGTTGTTTTACATTGGGAGATATTTTCTTGATGTGGATGTAAGCATATGATACTGGTTTGATTAAATGAAAGCGTAGGGTATCATCCTAAGCAATGCCTACCTCGCAGTTCATACAGTAATGTCGTAGCGCACTATTTGTCACCTGACAGCGCCACTATACTGCATTACACATGTTCTTTCATCAAGTATTACTCTTTCTTTCATTAATGTTTTTGCAGTCTTAAAATACTTCCTCATGTATTTTCATTGTAGTTATATCATGCATTGTTTACTTCTACTAAACTAGTTGCTATGACGATCAGGAATCAACAAGTTAAACAGCACACAAAACATTGTGTTATGCACATTGTCAGGACTAATTTTTGTCATTGCCGTTATTTTTCTGTTCAAAAATACATAGCAAGAATACTATTATAGTATAATTATTAGGCCATGGTTATTGTTCCGACGATTTTACGCAAATCCAAGGTGCTGATTGGTGGAGCTGGCTTTACCTTAATCTTCAGTGTCGCTAACTTAATGCACCACAACATGTTGGAAGAATAACTATTTTCTTATTATTTTTTTATTTTATTGTTGATTTTATTATTTTTCAAACAAACCAATAGTTACCTTTTAACTACCTACGTTCATGGGAATATTGTTATTATATCTTTTTTTTGTTGGTAAATTACTACCATAGGTACTCGGCAAAGATCTTACGAACACAAGATCGCTATCATGTGTTTATAAGATCTTTGGTTCTCAGGTATAAGCCCTACCCTACTTTACGACCAGTTTTACATACTAGCTTTCCTCAGGCAAAAGCCCAGGGTAGGATTTGAATGAGGAGCTTAAGTTGACTTTTAAAAATGCTCTAAAAAAAAAATCAAATATTGGCTTTGAATTAGGCATGCAGTGCTGAAAAATTGCCTTTTGGTTGAAAAGGAGATTCCCCTGGTATAAGATCCGGCCCAATTTCGTGTTTAAGGGGGGATGGGCTTATAGCAGAGGAACGTACATATTTTGATGGATTTATTTTGTTGTATTTTTTGTAGTTATATAAATTTCTGCAGCTTGTGTTCTTGCTAGACAGAAGTTTTGGCAGGAAATTTTAGTGGTGTATTGAGGAAAAAATTATATATTTTTGTATGAGTTTAATCATAGAGAGGTTTATATAATTTTCTATTAATGAATACTGAATATGTACTGAATACTCAGTACATATTCAGTACATACCCAAATACTTGTGAAAAAAAATCACAAGTGATTTGGGTGGGAATGGAACCCACGACCTCCAGATAACTAGCCTGTTGTCTTAACCACTAGACCACCGAGCTTGTACTTAGTGACTCCGATCCCTAAGTAGCAGCATGATCAACTATTGTCATTATTATTATTGTTGGTATTTTTATCATCAGTGGTTGATTTCATTATTTTCCTTCTTTATGATTTCATCCATTGGGAACTTACGCTCATTTTCAGCTCAAAAACCTTTGTGCCAATGTCTGTATACACATTTTATTTATTTCAGTTTCAGAGGTTTTGAACTTTCTGTAGCAAGCAGTACTAATTAGTTTTGACCTTCAAACTTTGACCGAATATTGACGTGATTTCACATTTCTTGTGAATATTCAATTTGGAGTTACCTTAAAGGGCATTTTTATAACCTTTGCTATTGAAGAGAAATTAAACTTTTTGAATAAGTAGATTTTCTTTCACAAAACTTTTAGAAATTATTCATGCTCAGGCTATATTACAGTATTTTGTCCCTAAAAATTGTTTAAATCATTTATTTAGACAAGAAAATAATCTCTTTCAATTATATTAAAAGTAATCTTTTTTTGTTAAATATTTTTATTGATTCCATTTGTATATGCTGGGTGACATTTATAATACAATGCTACTAGATTTAATAAAATATTGGCGCTTACAAAGCATATTTCTTTCATAATTATATATAGATCCTTTGCAGGATGTTGTATTGTTATTTGTTAAATTGTTTATAAAAGTTTTCTTTTCTGTAAATAATGATGTTTTGTATATATAAATAATGGATTACGGTTATAAAATTGTCAGAAAAAAAAGGAGTGTAACATCCATATCGAATGAAATTTAGCGTTTCATTTTATTTGTAAAACTTTTTACAAAGTGAAATTTCATTTATAGTCTGAAGTATATCGAGGAAAATAAAATAATTTATAACTTGGTGATTTTATGAATATGGTTGTTATACCCATGGGTTCCAAGTCTCCCAGAAGTCGAGAGAATTGCCCGGAAATCGGGACGCCCCCTCCCCCCCACACTTCTGCACACAAGTGTGAAATTTATACGTTTTTACTACAGTTGTGTCACGGAAGTCGGTTCCGATGGACATCACCAATGAACAACAACATAAAATCAAATATGTTAAGAAAGCTCATTTAACCAGATTTCTCAAACAGGGATTTCTTTCAACTTGGGACCCCTGGTTATACCTAAAATAGTCTTGGTACTCCCGAGGCGAGTATCGTGGAGTTGACGGGTTTTCGGGAAAATATTATTGGAGAGATCAACATTTACATGTTGTTCACCGAAATCTCAAAGTAGGTGTTTCTCACAAATTGTATGATATTTATGAAATGTATTTGTTATATCCTTAAAGGCATACTAATTGAATGTGTATTTATAAGTATCTTTATGCTTTTACTTATATTGCTTTTTATAATAAAAGATGAAATATTAAAAAAATAAATTTGTTTTATTTGTTCATTTCAATTGTTTGTTTTTGAGCTCTTATTAAAATTTGTAGAGTACCGTAAATGCATGAATAAGCGCCACGGCGCTTATAAGATTTTTGCAGGCTTCAGTGTGGCGCTTATTCGAGAGCGGCGCTTATAAACAAATATTGTCATGGTGCTTTCCATTCCCGTTCCCATGTTAGCTATTTCACGTATTCCCGTAGTTCTGTAGGCCTATCATAGGTCCTACTTCATCGTAAATAACTGTTTATGAAGAAATGCTTGTGTATATAAAAATGTATATGAGGTCATTTACACTGAATCCAAATTTTCGATAGGCAGGCCTAGGAAATCAAGACAAGGGTGCTGCCAGGATT